TCACAATGCTCTACCAAAATGATGCTGTGACTTTGTCTTACTGTTCATATTTAATATTCATGTATGCTATTTAAAATTGGCTTGCCTACCACAGACACTGCTGTGACTGTAACAACTGTACGACAATTGCTGTGATTTTGTCTTACTATTCATACTTAACATTCATGTATGCTATTTAATTTTTGCTTACCTAGCTTAGACACCATGCAACTGTACAACATTAGCTTACTTATCACAGAGACCAATGCGATTGATGTGACAGTGCAACATTGGCTTACTTACTGCAGATACTGACATGATTGACACAGTGTGACATTTAACATTCATGTATGCATTTGACTTACCACAGATACTGACATGATTGACGCGACAGCGCGACATTGGGTTACTTACCACAGAGACTGACGCGACAGCGCGACATTGGGTTACTTATCACAGAGACTGACGCGACAGCGCGACATTGGGTTACTTATCACAGAGACTGACGCGACAGCGCGACATTGGGTTACTTATCACAGAGACTGACGCGACAGCGCGACATTGGGTTACTTATCACAGAGACTTGACGCAACAGCGCGACATTGGGTTACTTACCACAGAGACTGACGCGACAGCGCGACATTGGGTTACTTACCACAGAGACTGACGCACAGCGCGACATTGGGTTACTTATCACAGAGACTTGACGCGACAGCGCGACATTGGGTTACTTACCACAGAGACTGACGCGACAGCGCGACATTGGGTTACTTATCACAGAGACTGACGCGACAGCGCGACATTTACTTACCACAGAGATTGACGCGACAGCACGACATTGGGTTACTTACCACAGAGACTTGACATGATTGACACAACATTTAACATTCATGTATGCTAATTTAACTTACCACAGATACTGACAACAGATATTGACACGACATTTAACATTCATGTATGCTAATTTAACTTACCACAGATACTGACAACAGACACTGCTGCAAACCAACGCGACTGACGCGACCGACGCGTCTGATGTAAACGCGACGTCGCGCGGTAGTATGCCCCATACTACTCGGGACATCTATTTAGGTCAGTGTGACTTGATGCTCGCTCGGTGTCTCATGAAACTTACCAAACTCAGAAGCGTCAAAGACCTTGATTTTGACCGAGTCATTGTGGACGACGTTGATGTGCTTCTGGATAGCTTCACGCTTTTTGAAGACGATCTTACACTCCGGGAGCGGGCAGGTATAACGCCCGTCCGATTGGCCTACAACATGCTCGTTCCCATCAATCAGGAATGTGATAGGGACGGAGTGGTAGCGGTATCGGTGCTTTCGCGCGATCTCGTAGGTCGGGAATGGTCCCATGCCGCATCCTGGATGGTCACAGACGTCGTTGTCGGACATTTATATCAGTAAGCAAAGTGTATGCGATGATAAATTGAGAGATGTTGTACTGTATCGTTGGATGACGGATGAATGGCGCTGGCAAGGTTTTATATGATTTCAAACATATGGGCCTGCGCCTGCAAGGATGGAAAAAAAATACCTGAAGGCGTGGCATGGTGAAAAAAACACGATGGACTAATGACAGCATTTACGGAAATATCAAGAACGAAAGAGGAGACGGCGATCTCGACGCACGACGATCGGAGCAAGGATTCTGTTCGAGCACTCATGATATGTGAGGTTAGGCCATAATACGCGGAAAATAAAGGCTGATGGTCACCGGAAATGAGTCCTCTCATTCGAGGTTCATCCACATGAAGAGACGTGCTTGTCTGTATCCAGTTAATACGATTGAAGCGCCACCTAAAAAAAAACTCTTTAATGTCGGAAGGAATGGAGAGTACAAAAATAAGACACAATGTTCGGTAACATTTGCATCATAGTCGCGTGTCCAATCATGTTCTGGATGGAAGGGAGTCGAATGGCAGCCGTGAACATCGGATGAAAATAAATATTGTTCGTGGATATATGCATTGCGCCCAATGGTGGAGTAAAGCTATTTTTGGACAGTTGAATATTTTGCATGGGCTGAGCGCACATTTACTTTCCATTAGTTGCGAATATCTCAGCAGAATGCCTCTGCAAGCAATCACATCTCGCGACTCATTGCATCGATCGCCAGAAAGTCCATACTTGGACAAGTCCTTGGTTCAAACAAAGATTGCCAAATTATATGCATGAGCCGTCGACCCTGCTGAAAATGCTCGAATAGCACATGCTAGTGACTCATCAAGGGCTTCATGGATCAGGAGGTGACCTAGAACGTGCAGGCATCACAGATGTTCTATGCATGCGGACATGTTCTCCCATGAACTGAGATTCTGTGGCGCACAGGTGATAAAAAATGTGTTTAACCTTACATATGTATTTTCGTCGCTCATGCAGGAAGCCAGCATGGTTCACAAGCATGTCGACATGTGATGGAACGTCCCCAACACATGCTAGCTGACACCTGCAGTCATATATGGTCTTTAAAATCAAGGATGGTCCAAAATAAAACGATTGAATAAGAATATGTCGAGGAACTTGATCACACCAGTGCCCAGCTGTTCTTGACATGTGTTGTATGATACCTGGAGCTGACTGAATCGTCAGTGATGGATGCACCAGAATGAAATGATCTCTTTTCATGAATCATATATGATCCATGACTTCAAACCGATTCGCATCAGGACAGTGATGGACAAAAACAGTACAAAAGGCTCTATGATCTAAATATGCAGGTTAAAGTCGATGGTGATGTAAGAAGCATTCACGGCCTCGATCATCTTCTTCAAAGTGCCGATAGCAAGAAGAAGGCAAGTTGTGAAACGATCCTGCTGTCACCCGAGCCATTAAAGCTGCGGGTTTTAATACTAAGATTCATAAATATACAAGTGGAAAGAGTGCCCTCACAGAACGAGCTCGCAAAACAGCTGCTGGGAATTTACATAATCGTCCATCACAAGCAACTCGGACAGGGCGATGCCTGAAAGTCTAAATAAGTAAGGGTGACGGGTTGACGCCTGATTATAAATAGGTGAGAGTGATGGGGTGATGCCTTAAAGTCTAAATCAGCAAGGGTGACGGGATGACGCATCCAGAAGCAACTCGGACAGGGTGACGGGGTGACGCCTGGATAAGCAAAGGTGACGGGGTGACGCCTATGGATCTAAATGAGGGTGATGGGGTGACGCCTGGCGCCTATGGGTCTAAATAAGGGAGGGTGACGGGGTGACGCCTGGCGCCTATGGGTCTAAATAAGGGAGGGTGATGGGGTGACGCATGGCGCCTATGGATCTAAATAAGGGAGGGTGACGGGGTGACGCCTGGATAAGGGAGGGTGACGCCTATGGATCTAAATAAGGGAGGGTGATGCCCAAGATACTGGATAAGCGAGGGTGACGGGGTGACGCCTATAGATCTAAATAAGGGAGGGTGACGGGGTGACGCCTATGGGTCTAAATAAGCGAGGGTGACGGGGTGACGCTTGTAGCACCAAGGACAGTGCCAAGAGGACATATTGGCGGATGGGAAAAGAAGCGAGGGTGACGGACAGCCACTTACGACACCTCATGGGAAAAAGAAGGGGTGACGCTGACAGCGCCAAGGGCAAAAAATGGCGGATGGGAAAAAAAAAGGTGGGGTGACGGACAGCCACTTACGTGATGGACTTCCATTTGCGGCTGGGGTGACGGGGTGACGTTTACAGGGGTGCGCCCGTCGGACCAAATAGATAGGGCAGCATTAAGAAATGTGGTGAAACTCATATAGTTTCACTTGGAAATTGAGAAAATAGGTGATTTATATTCAGTGATTCAGGATGATAATCGTAGCACACATTGTATCTTATTACCGATGTGTAATATCCATATAAAATTCTATAGAACCCCCTGATAAAACCTATGTGAAACCTATATGAGTCAGATGACTCAGTCATATGATATCAAAAGTATATGACATGAATGTCACTGCTACAGTGAAACATATGTGAAGCCTATAAGAAACTCATATGAAACTCATATGAAAATCAGTCATATGAAAAATGGAAAAGTATATGACATGAACATCACTGCTATAGTGAAACTCATATGAAACTCATATGAAACCTATATGAAACCCATATGAAAAGTATATGACATGAACATCACTGCTATAGTGAAACTCATATGAAACTCATATGAAACCTATATGAAACCCATATGAAAAGTATATGACATGAACATCACTGCTATAGTGAAACTCATATGAAACCTATATGAAACCTATATGAAACCTATATGAAACCCATATGAAAAGTATATGAACATCACTGCTATAGTGAAACTCATATGAAACCTATATGAAACCCATATGAAACTCAGTCATATGACATGAAAAAAGTCACTGGCATACACAAAATCCTCATGAAACCCAGATGAAACCTATGAACTACCCCCCCCTAGGGTGGGCACGGATTCGGGTAAGAAGCACAGGTAAGAAGATAACCAAGTGAAGAACGCACCAGCGAAGTCAAACGGACACGGACGGGACATGGTACGGAGGATCGGAACTGTATACAAGCCTCGGAAATGGACGGACGACCTTCGGATGACTCAGACGAACGCACAGAACTCTCTGAAGGTAAAATGGAGTGTCGAGGAATGTGTATGTGGAATACCTATGAGTTTGGCAGGATACGAGCCCAACGCCAATCCGAGTGCTACATCGGGATCGATAGCATCTGAAGAAACATTGCGCTGAACAAGTCGAAAATTGGCATCAATTGCAAGGAACAGCACATATAAGAATCTGCATTCAATAACATATAAGACACAAAAACAATGAACTACAGACATTAAAACTCACTTTGACTCAGGCGGAGCACTTGCCCAATCACAGGTAAATTCTTTCCTGGATGGGGGCAAGCTGGACACATCACCGCACATGCACCAGGTTGCATGGCAGCAATAGTTCCAGGATGATGGCCCTGGCCAGACCGTTTGATTTGCTTCAAAAAGTGCCACTCTCGCATCATGCATAGAAGTGACTCGTAGCAATCCTGAATTCACTTGTTAGTTTGCTAGCAGATAAGTTTGAAAAACCATGTACCTTTGGTGTGTGAATGCCTGTATTGTTAGTCAATCGTACAATGGTGTGATAAAACTCGAGGGCAGATGCTTTGGACTCAAAGGATAGGAGAACCTACGTTCGAGATACATAAGCACCAGCCACAGCCCCCAGCGAGTAGGCATCCTCCTGTAAATCCCACATCGCATACGGAGGTTGAAGATACAGCAAACACATCAAGAGACAGTAACCAAGGTTGCTATATTCCAGTTCGTGGGTATGGTCCAAACAGTAACATCAAACAGCATGAGTCAACCAACCCAAAGAGCCGAAGTAAAAAATGAACAAGTCCGTCGCTGCATATAACAACAATCGTCTCCAGTAAAGGTAAAACAGATAACCCATCACCATCATGAATGTCAGCGTACAGGTGCAGGTATATTAATATATGCAAGTCTAAATGATATAGTCAATGGCACACTGGATTCATGAGAGGAAGATCATTGCGAAGAGGGTACCGGTGACACCCGCAAGGGTCGAAACGCCAAGAGCGACGGCACCGCCGGTCTGAGTTGCAGCAGCAGCACCAGCTGAGTTCGAGCCAGTCCCAGTGGCCTTAGCACCGCCACTTGCTGAAGCGGAGACGCCAGTAGGGGTAACGGTGGCGATACCGGTGTAGAGAGCAGAGCTGGCATAAGTCACGCAGTTGGATGAGGCGGGAGTGAAAGCTGTGTAGGGTGGGTCGACAGCGGCGGAATCCGGCTGGCTGTAAGTCATGGTGACGCCGCCGGTGACGTAAAGACCAGCAGGAATCTTGAGATCAGAGTCGCAGACCTCGAAGGTACCGTTCTGGGCATTGTTGGGCATGTTGTAACTGCAACCCATGCGGTCGTAGATGTTCTGGCAGTAAGCGGACTGGTTTGCGCTGCTGGAAGCAGGATCACAAATTGTGATACAGAAGGCATCGCCACCCATGAAGCTGCGGTACATGAGAACGAGAACGGGAATTGATTTTAGTTCAACGACTTACTTCGTCCAGTCGATAACTTGCTGGTAGGAGTTGTTGTTGCCACCGTTGCTTGGGAACGCGTTGGAATACATCAAACCTCCAAGAGGGTTCCCACGCTGTCACAGTCAATTTAACTCTAATCGACAAACGTGAGACTCACAAGGTCAGCACCGTGAGGGTCGAGCTCTCCTCCGTAGTCTTGAGCATTCATGTTAATCTGAGTCTGGTCGATAAAACCAGCAATTTGAATGTACTCCGATGTAACGAGATACTGAACACCCTGGAGGGCACCATTGGGGATGAGACGAGTGCCGTGGCCAGGCTTTGTGCACCATGCAACCTCCTCTTGTTCGGTATCGCCGATAGTGGAGTTAGGGATGGGCGGTGCCCACAAGCAGAAGTCTGAAAACAATACGGACATTATGAGCGATGAACGCGTGCAGAGCTGTTAACCAGAGACGCACCGTCAATGTGGTTCACCATTGAGGTTTGGCACAAAGAGTTCTGGTTCTGTGTGGTGGAGTTGCAAATGTTATAGCCGGTCTGAGGGCCACGGATAGCAGCGGTGTTGTAGTCGACCTGGTAGGGCTTGAAAAATTAATGCCATGTGAACACGGTGCACAACGAGAGAGGGCCTGAAAGCTCACAATTCCTGACGGGTAGGCATAAGTCTTGTCGACAAGTGGTGTTGGGTCAGCTGGGTCGGGTTGAGCAAGGGCGAATTTTGAAGTGACAGCGATGGCTAAAAGCACGGAAAGAGTGGAACGAGACATATCTCAAAGTTGGTGGTGGTGATAGAAGTAAAGAAACAAAGAACGCTTTGGTTTTGTAATGGAGGGAAGCGAGGAAAAAAATGAGGCCAAATGTGTAGTCGGATCAAAGTCTCATATAGTTTGACAAAAATAATTTCAGACACCGGAAATAGAATGTTGACAGCTATATTTATATCACATGAGGCTTCCTGCTTGAACATAGCAATAGTAAGTACGGGTATTTGTCGCGTTGACATTAATTAATATTGGCTTCAGACTTTGCAGGGAATTTAAAATTGACTTATTACTTGTGTGATTTTAGTCACAACTTGAATGCGGCTACTGATCTGATCATGTTGACAGTTGAAGGGAGTTGCGAAACGTTACCGGTTAACGTTTACCCCTGGGCCCGAACGTTGCCATTAATATGTGGTCGAACTCATAGCTGGTGGAACAATGATAGAGTAATCCAGTACGTAGGAGAGCTTAGCTCCTATGACGTTACTAGTCCAACCATGTGCGTCATTATGACTGCCAGTACTCCTTTTCTGTCACGAGCTCCTATAAATATTGTGTCTTTATAACGCTCCACTCTCCCCAACAGTCTGATGTCAACTTCCCAACAACACACCATGGACAAATTATCTTCTGTTATCGCTGCTCTCGACGCAGGCAAGCTCCCCACCCAGGAGCAGGCGGATACCGCAATCGATTGGACACTCCAGAATATCATTGCGAGCGTCGAATCTCCTGATGCGGGAAAGATCAGCGAGTCGGGAGAAGTTCTTGCACGCGGTATACAAGACCTCCTCATTGCATACAAGAAGCTTGGGGACAACAAAAATCGTGAGCACCTCGACTTTCCTCAATTTCAAAATCTAATTGCGGTATAGATGACAACCTTTTGCAACAAGTCCTTTGGCACCTCTCTGAGGGAGATTTCGCAGACATGCGTGTAGAAGGAATTGATACAGATAAAGCGTCCGCCGATCTCCAATCCATCCGCTCCACCATTCGTGCTCTTCTGCACATTCTTTGGACCAACGTCAGTGATGAAGCAACTGTCCTCCTGAATGACTTTGCGTCTTTTGCACGTCTGGCAATGGCTGACCTCGCAGGGGACATTGAAACCGGAGCCGTTTACACTAAGGAAAGTCTACGCGAGCTCGACACAGGAGTGCGGCAAGGTGAGCGGGACAACCTGGGGCGCAAGCGAAAGACCCCTGAAGAAATCGAACGGGAGCGTGAGCAAGACACAAAAGCGAAATTTGAGAACACCATGGATGCTGCGAAAGAGACGGGATCTAAGGCTATAGGCGTCGGGCAAGAGGTGAAGGCATCCGCTGAAGAAGCGGCTGAGCGTACACGTATTCGCCTGCAGCAGACTTATTATAATGTCCGTTTTCTTTTCTTTAGCAAACCTTGCCGGTGCTGACAGTACTTTGCGCAGATCTGTGAACGTGCGCAGAAGGATGAGAACTACCATCACGCCATCTCCACACTTTTCAACATCGTATCGAAGTGGATTAACAAGTCTCTTGATACTGCCACTGATATCAACGAGTCCACATCGCTCGAGTCCTTCATTGACGATCCATCGAAAGAGAAGCATGTCCTCAAAGCCCTTTATGGTATCCGTACGCTCGTCGAGCGTGTCGCAGGTGGCAAGTCTTTGGATGACGTCTTCGCCAAGGCCCGTCTGTGCGCCGTACACGTCAGGAACGACAAAGACCTGAAGAGCTGGTTCAATGATTTCTTCGCTCATGTCCGGAAGAGCCTCGACGAGCCTACCTATGCACGATCAGAAGAAGCTCATCACATGCTCCACCAGCTCGCAGAGCGCTGGAAGCAGCTTCTTGATCAAGACTCAAATGCAGGGCGTAAGTGGAAAGAGGATGTACGGGCTCTCAGGCACGAGCTTCGTGATTTCCAACAGGCGATCGCAAGGGATGCAGACTTGCAGCGCGTGCGGAAGGCACATGCTATGTTCGGTAAAGATTTGGCGCAGAGCGTTGGCACGGGCGGACGCATTGGTATGCAGTTTGCCCTCGATCAAGCCTCATGGTTCTGGCAGGATGTCTTCAACGTTTATGCGCCACGCCTCTTGAGCGTCATCAAGGACATTCCGACTCCAAGGTAGGTTCAGGGTTAACTGCGCATTTCCATCATTCGCTGACGAGCTTGACAGAACCGAGTATGTTGATAATGAGATCGAATTTGTCCTCGAGAATTTCGACATCTCGTCGTTGAGCTTGCTTCCTGGGCACGTCTACATCCGCAATATCACTGACGTCGACATCACCGCTCCCGCCGGATCGCAGTCAACCACCACTGCCGTTGGCACACTCACGCACATTCGGATGCAAGCAGTCCAGCTCGCGCTCAAGGAGGTATCATTTTTCTATAGGGACAAGGTTGCTATTGTCGGGCCCAAGGACTTCACAGGTCTCATAGAGTTCAATCTGCCACCAAAGGGTATCGATATCGATCTCAAGTTCTGCTTGATCCCAAACACGCCCCAAGGTCTTAAGGAGCGCGAGCGTCTTGGACGGTTCTTCAAGATCGAGCGCATCGAGGTGAATGTGGCGGAAGATATCAACATGCAAGTCAAGCAGTCCAACCACCCCATCCTTGCATCCGTCTTCAGGCCTGTCATCATGCTTCGCTTCCGCGAAGCGATTTCACGCACCCTGGAGGAGCAGATCCGGGGGCTGTTCGATACTACCGACGCTTTGGCGTTTGATATTGGGCGACGTTCAGAGGTGTTCAAGGATGCTGGGCTTGGGACTACCTCGTCTGTCGTTGCTGCAATGTGGAGCGAGATAGGGAAGCTCCGGCGGATGGAAGGTGGTTTGCTGTCTGGCTGGAGAGCAACTGGAACAGGAGTCATCAAGGATGATTTGGGCGGCAACGCAAAGATTGCGATGGGCGCGGAACCACAAATTCTTTCGGGGGAGAAGAGAGGTCCTTTAGGAACTCATGCGGAGCCGCTTGCAGAAAGGATCCCGGGTGTGGATGTTGGAGGCGCCTTGGAAGGTGCTACGACTACCGTCGAACGAGTAGAGCAAGCCGGGAAGGAAGGTCTAAAGCAGGTGCAGAGTTTCAAGCAAAGCGTTGATCATAAGAAGAGGGAGGAGGAGAAGCGGAGGGGATGGCAGAGCCCAGCATTCGATATTTAATCATCGATGACTCATTTTCTCGGTCTTTATCGCGATGTTTACAAGCACATGAATAAACGGACAGTTGTGCAATAAGCCGAGATGATCGACTATTCCCGCTTCCTCTTAAGGTTACTACGCGCGTTTGTACCTTGTATGGCACACAAAGGTCCCTTCTCGAGTGTCTTGTGTTCTGTAGTATCGAACTCCATCCCTAGATCTTCCAGGAGCATTTCGGCCTCTTGAGGTGGGAGTGAATCCGTCGCAAGCTGCCAAAACCTAGCCTGGTAATCAGTAACACGACTGGATGCATCGGATGCGTTGATGGTCTGGAAGTGTCAGTAGGTAGGCAAAAAACTAACGTCATGAAGACTTTTCTTCGGCGAGTCCATTCCGCTCGCCATTTCGCCCAGTCGGCATCGATCTTGACGAGTTCCTCAGCAGAAATGAGCGGTGCACCAGAGCGAAGGGGGACGAGTCTGTCGGTGAGTTGCGCTATCTTTGTTGGGACAAAAGCAGGTCATATTGGTTCCCTCAAAACCGGTGAGAGTCGTGTACTTACTTCCTTATTCGTACTCGCAATCTGGGCCTCGAGTTCTTCGTCCGTTGGACAATTTTTGAGTTTTGATAGTTCTTTCGGGGTTGAGATTACATATAAGGGGACTGTATCTGCTTGCGTTCAGTGCTTACCTGCTGTTATAGCTTTGACCTCTACCGCAAGTACGTTGTTACTGTCCTCGACCGTCTTGCACTCGACCTCAAGTTCTGTAAGCTTGTCAGCAGGAACCGTGTCAATGCTAGCCTGATTGGCAACAAAGAAGCTCGTTTTCCCTCGATAGGTCGTAAATGCAAGAAGCTCTGACTTGTAAAACTATACACACCATATGTTTTCTGCACAATCTCCCTCCTTTCTGCTAGAGCGACGAGGATCTTCTGCGTTGCAGCCTTCGGCACTGCACCTTTCAGGTTGGCAGCGACGTCTACAGCACCAAATGGACGGTTCATCTGTTGCATGTCATGTCAGTATAGCGCATATATGCGCCTTTTTCTGGGTCACTCTTTTCAGATATTGCAATATTGCATCTTCGGCTAATGCGAAATGAGAAAAGCATGAAGGAGTAGCAATTGGGCCTCACCTTCTTGACCTTTGAGAACCTTGACATCTGAGCTTTTCGCTTTACTTGCCATTGTCAGTTGTGAGAGCGATGTTGGAGCGATGTCGATGATCCGGGTCAGTTGATTCTGCCTTCTGGAGTCACGTGAAGAAATTCGCTTGTGATTGTCTATTTCGGCTTTGCTTCGGGGGAGTAACATCCTCCGCTTCCTGTATGACTGCGTCGTCCAGTACATAGCGACAGCTGGGGTATTCATGAATTCTACTGTCTCTCACCAGCGAGACAAACTTTCACTCGATTCTACTATTCGATCTGGAATTGCTGGTGGTTTGGCAGGATGCATCGTATGCTTCGTTTTTCTCATGCTCTCTGTGGCTCATTGACACCGCATATATAGGCAAAGACGGCCGTGGCCCCCCTTGACAGAGTCAAGATCCTTTTCCAAGCCTCAAACCCTGATTTCCAGAAGTATGCTGGTATGTATAGTCGACAGCGTATCTCCGCATCTACCTCCGGACTGACTTCATCCCTCAAAGGAACTTGGACTGGAGCTTATCGAGCCGGACTCGCAATATATAGAGATGGTGGTGCCAGAGGATTGCTTCAAGGCCACTCCGCGACTCTTCTACGCATATTTCCATACGCAGCCATAAAGTTTATGGCCTATGACCAATGGAGAGCGGTACGTCAACTATTTCATATGTGTACGCACTTACTTACTGTACCATACAGCTTGTGATACCTGATAGGGATAAAGAAACAAATTTTAGACGGTTTACTGCTGGCGCTCTTGCAGGTGAGCCGGGCCCTCAGTCATATATTTTCATTCAATCGTATTCGCCACAGGCATGACCTCCGTTACTTTCACCTACCCACTCGAGTTGGTCCGCGTGCGCATGGCGTTCCATAGTCGACTGTCTAGCTCTTCCGACCAGATGCGTCCCTCCTTTCTCAGAGCTATGCGCGTCATATATAACGAAGGTTCCACGTCTTCCCCTGCAACGCGGACCACAGGGGCGCAAATCTTTGAACGCTTTCCCGTTCTAAAATTTTACCGTGGCTTTACCGTGACCATGGTGGGCATGATTCCCTACGCCGGCACGGCATTTCTCACTTGGGATTTCTTGCGGGCGCATTTTTTCCCAGTCATAGATGACCACTCCAAGCGACCTCACCCCATGGCAAATCTCGCCATTGGAGCTGTTTCTGGTGCAATTTCACAGACTGTGTCGTATCCCTTTGAGGTTGTTCGTCGGCGAATGCAAGTCGGAGGTTTGACTAGACCAGATAGGTGGCTACGGTTGGGAGAGACTGTGCGTGCTGTGTACGCAAGCGGAGGGTGGAGAGGTTTCTACGTCGGATTAGGAATAGGCTACTTGAAGATCATACCCATGACTGCCATCAGTTTCGCTGTTTGGCAAGGAGGCAAAAGCCTGCTGGGTGTCTAGATATCAGGCTATTCATCCGTCGCAACATAACATTTTTCCGTGCAAACATTGGGGGGCCATTGTCCTCAGGGCCAAAAACGCGAACTCTGGTGGACACGACCTTGAGCGATTGATGTGGTCAAGTGAGTATCATCCAGGACTGACATCGAACAAATAACATGCAAATCAAACTACATGAGGACGAAAGCAAGGCTACAGATAGGTAGGTAAAAATACACGGAGCTCATGAAGAGTCGGGGTGAACGACACCTCGTCCCCTTCCTCGGTAACCCCTTCCTCTCCCGCGATCAAGATGCGACATATATCCTCGTCCTCGAAAACCACCTCTAGGATGTGGATAAGGGCGATGGACTGCACCGCCTCTGCTTGGTGCACCATTTTCATGAGAGGAAGGCTGGTTGTTAGTGTTCATGGAAGGTTGCGATATCGATCCAGAAGCTTCGCCTCCTGAGGTGCCTTCCGTTGTTGATGTAGGACGACCGTTTATTGCAGGTCCACCACGCCCATTTGGCGATCCTGCGTAGCCATTAAAGGGAGGGCCTCCACGAGGTACGCGAGGGACAAGCCCTCCACGACCCCGGTTCGGATTGGACATAATTGCTACGGGTGGTTGGTGTTGGCTGTGCGAAAGTTAGCACCGTATATAACCCGCGAGCACAGGGACTTCACCTCTGTGCAGCAGAACGGAATCCAGCAACAGCGTGATGCCCAGGAGCAGGCTGGATGGCTGGATACGGACCAGATCGAGGTTTGAAAGGAACGTTTGGGCGAGGAGGATAAGTTGAACCAGGGGAGGTAGAAGCGATGAATTGGGGGTTGCTTAGGTTTAGACATGAGTTGAACTCTACAGTCGAACCTCGATACTGAGAACATCTACGAATTACAAGTTTAAGTGTCTCAGGCCAGAAGAAGTGTTCCACTAACCTGTCCCCAAGCGTCGTACCGGACATAAATGGCACGTCCCACACGACATCCATCGACTTTGTGTTCAAGCCAACGACAACGCCCTTCGCAGACAACGGAACTCCACCTGAATCTTGAACCATAGTCACCCTGTCTCCCAAAGCAAAGTGCTGGTTCTGAAGTCGATAGATAGCGTGCGACGGTTTCAGAACTGCGTGGCGAGGGATGTTCTTCACAATGGCTTTCTTGATTGTCGCTTTAGACCTGTTCTTATTGATGTCATCAGCAACCTGTTCGATTTCTTTGACAGTGCTCTAAAGGCAGCTTTGAGTGAAACACGATTCGGTGTAAATGGTGATTCTGATATACCTTCGCTAGGTTGTCCGAGAAGAGGGAAACTGGTTCGAGATCTCGGACCCCCTTCAATTTGAGCCACGACTTTACTTCCTTGACCCTGGCATCAGCGTGAGAGTTAAAGATGTCTGTATCACGGGCCATATCTGTCATCCTGGAGTTGAGATCAAGGAATGGTTAAGCTAGTCTAACATCTTACCGTCGCCTCCTTGGTCCAGAATCGCGAAGATTTCTGGGAATTTATCCTGCAAAGAACTGAGTTCCAATTCAAATGCGATTTCAATAGAACCAACCTTATATTCACGAATGAGGTCAACTGCCTTCTCGCTAAACTCCCAATAGCGACCGGTCTTCAGCGAGTAATCAATAACCTTCAAGCTCTTAGCCTCGAACTTGATGCTTAATCCGAGATTGTTCTTCTGATGATCGGAGGTGAGAACCATGAAGCTAGATGTGATCTTAGAGAGCGCTCTGGGTGATATGCCGATTGCAGAAGCTGCTTTGAACGATGGCAAGTAGTGCTGAGAAACACGGCTGTCGACAATAGTCTTGAATTTGTTGTTCTCCGTTTTATCTGAAGGAAAGAACTACGAGGTCATTTAGAAAGATAAATCGTGGTAGACGTTGTAACATACCGCCAAGATAACAGACAAAGCACTGTCGGTAGTTGAAGACACCTGGGCAGCCGCACCATACGCATGTTCGCCTAGGAAGAAAATGTTCGTTCCGTCGGGAAATTCCTCCGACAGAGGTGGAGCATCCTTCTCGAGGAATCTGGGATCTTCAGATGCAACTTCTGAGATGACCATCTGGACGGCTTGTTCGAGTTCTTTTTCGGGTCCTTCGTAGTCCTTAACTAATGCGCCTGATTCCAAGCGTTTCAAACCTGCACGAATGTGTAAAAATGAACGTCCATAAAATACCAGCACGCACCTTTTAGCGGACGGACGTGCACTAGGACATCGACGTCACCAGTGATCACTCCACATTTCTTTGAATATATCGACTCAATCCGCTCAGCCTTGCCTCTCCAATGGCTTAAGCCCTGGTGGGAATGTGGATTTGAAACAACCTTTTCCGGGGTGCCAGGTACGATTACCAACTTCTCATAACTGAACAACGAATCGGACACGGCAGTGACTAGCCCCTCTTGCAAAAAGGGCCAACCGATGAAAGTGCGTTTGCCAACCATTTCCATAGCAATGTCCTCTACCTTGCGGTTTTCGTGAGGATTTTGTATGTGAACTACCATCGACTTATTGCGGCTTTCGGAATTGTGTACATTGACACCATGAAATCCTAGTTGCGCTGTGTGGGGTAATGTATCCAGCGAGGGGAATCCAGCGAGGGCCTTCGCACCGAGGCATACACCTTCACATAGTCCAGGCACGAGATGGAGTCCGTCAAGAGTTGGCAAATCGAAGGATTCCATCTTGCACGTGCAACGATATATGGGAGGGAAGAAGTCTGGCAACGATGAAGGGTAGACTGTGGGTTCTCCAGGATTGAAGAAGAATTTAGTACTGGTTCCAAAGTCATTGCGGCGGCGTTCTTCTGGAGTCAACCTGTGTTCTCGGGCTGCACACATGGAGCGATGACGAACTACAGCCAAAAAGCGGAACTTGCCACTCACAATGCATTGCTTGTAACAGCCGCTGCTCATCAATGAAGGGGATCTTAACGATCGCTTCCCATTCTTGCTTCTTCCCATTTAGATCTTGCTCGAATTCGAGGGGGTAGAAATCCAATATTGGTGAATTTGGATCGTACATTAGATCCTATGAGTGATTAGTTTAATGCACGGCACAGGGCCACTGAACATACTTGATATGCTAACGGTATGTGATCCATGCTTGCGGACGGGAGGACGCCCATCAGTTGTTCGAAAGGATGGAAAGGTTTACCCAGCTCGAATGAGAACAACATGTCGCCAAGGCCGCGTAGATCTTGGAGAAATCGTGAGCGTAGTGTAATGAGGACAAAGACTGCAAAAAGTACCAGATATCCGTGGTGCGTAATGGTAGTTGTAAAACCAACCCCATGAGGCGATCCCGCTGTAATAGTAGTGCATAACCCATTGTAGGCCCTCTACATAGCGGTATATCAAGTCGTGCATATCTTCGGGATCGTCAAAGGAGATTTCGAGTTTCTCCTATGGTGCAAACGGTTGGTTTGAAGAACAGTATGTGATGCGGGAACGCACCTTGTAATATCCTCTCTTCCATTCCGCCATTTTGTCATTGATGGATTGTTCGTGTCGAGCGTCGAAACCCCCACCTTCATCATCATCCACCACAGGTGCCTTGTCGAATTTCTTCAACACTCGATCCACTGCAGCCCTGCCTTCTTCATCTTCCTCGTCTACGTCTTCCCACTCATCCTCAGTATTTTCGTCTCCGTTAGATCGCTCGACATCAGGTTCTGCTGATGGTTCGTCCGAAACTCCGGGAATTCGCCACGTAACAAGATTCTGGTCCTCCTCATCGTACTCATCCCAAGTAACAGACAGATGCAACTCCTCCGCCAGGGTGCTGATGAACTTCCGTTCCCGGGCGGGAAACGTATTAGGCATTGTTAGGGTTGTAGTTCGGTGCTGCGTCGATTTCCTGCGATTTTGCAAGACAAACTGTTGTACTTGATCGAAAATGTCCCGTTCGGGGCGCGTAAGAACTAACATGAATTAATTGTTGGTTGTTGACACGAGGAGTAGAGAACTGTACCAAGCTTAGCACGCTTGCGCGCAAGTTCCATTTCTTGGACTTGTTTGCTCCGTTTTCCCTTGAACCAATTCGAGTCCGCGTATTCTTTCTCGTAGATCTCTCGCTCCCATATGGTCATTTCGTCCAGGACGACCTGCAGTCGCTGGGTATTAATGACCCCGCCCTCATTTATATAACCATCTGAAACGATGAGCCAATGTGCGACATAACGAAGTTCAGGACTTACCCAGTGACGGTAAAACCTTCTTGTACACGTCGAACAGGCGCTCCAGTCCGTTCTCGTGGATGTGCAAGTCCGGAAGATTAGGTAGGAAATCGTTTCCGACGAAGACTGCCAGTAGAATGAAGTCATCAATGACTCGCTCTAGGCTGTAAGCAAATGCGAGAGTGTCTTCTATATCACGAAACTCAAGGTCCAGGTATTCACGCATTAACGAGAGATGTAGGAGGTAGAAGTTGAGGTTCTCCAGGCTTGCGCTGGCGTTCAGTAAATCTGCCTATGCACGAAAACTACGAAATACCTGATGTTACCCTTCTTCTTCGCAGCCGGCCCGAACTTTACTTCCTCTCGCAGGAGACAGAAGTGGGGATCATGACTCAGAAGGCCAAGCATGATGAGGTCGGCATCAAGACCGTACAAGCAATGCCGCACGTTCGGGTTATAATCAGGTTGGGCTCTCGATAGTCGAATGTATTCCATGATCTTGTGTTCACCTTCACCCGGCACTTCGTGACCGGACAATACAACTTGCACGCCACGCCAATTAGCATCTTCGGTAATCTTCTTGTTGATAAAATATCGTAGCTGTGCGGATAGCCTGACCATGAAAGGAGTACCTGAGACAGAATAATCAACATGATGCCATATGAAACAACGTAGCACGCACCTGGCGTAATGCAATTACTATCAAACGCTTTCTCTTCTGGTAGTTTTTCTCCTTTCGACTCTGCCTTCTCCCTGACTTCTTTCGCTTCCTTGGCAGTGCGAAACCGTCGACTTCGTTGCTGGTTCATCTTTGCCCGAGGAGCCACGCCATCCACTGCCATAAAAAAAAGTTTCTTTGGCTTTATCTTACCGAATAGCAAGTCCACATATGCGAATATTGCCGTGAATATTTGCTCTTCGGACATTCTGAAGTGCGCATCTTCATCATTTGGATGCGAGCCTAGAATGAAATTTGAACGCCAGTTTACACCGTATCTCCAGGTACTAGTACTTACAGTTATGAATGATTCCATTGAAATCGAGATAGAGATTATCTATTCGAAGACTTCAGCGCAAGAATACTAAGTAAGTCTAATAACTCACCAAATTCTGGAATCTTGTTCTCCTCGATCAACTGCGAGGTAAGCGGATACCGCTCACTACCGAGAAATCAGCTTCTGTGGTCGAATAATGGACGACTGGCTCACGAGATATAACGGAAAAACTACAACACGAAGGACATTCAGAAGGGTTGAGTGCATATTTCACAGATAAAAGAAGCGCGAACCTTGGGGATTCCTAGAGATTGGATAAATGTGAGCATATACATCAACCTTACCAGACAGACATACCCATAACAAGGAAAGGAAGAGTACAGTTACTGTGAGGATCAGGATCGGTGACGATTCTCGAGGTTGAGACGGAAAAGGCGTATTACGTAAGCGACGCGCTGCACAGCCAGCTAAGTACTACATCACAATCAAACTCTGTCCAGACTCCAGCAGGCTGGCAGCCTGGAGTGGTGGTTGAAACGTTGATCATCAATTACCCCGGAAGTTGCCTGGTATAGGCTGTGGTACTCATTGTTCGACTTGGATAATCTGAAAACCTGAAACAGAGTCGTCACTTCTGGGACCTTGGAGCCTGAGCCTTTTTTTTCTGACAGCGCCGACCTCGGGCGGTGCCCTCCATCATGATTCTCTCTGGGGATAACGCTTAGACTGATCAATCCAAGTAACTCGGGGTAGTCTTTGGATGGTCCTTCCGGACGACTCCAGAGAGAGCCGACGTTCGGACATTGGACACTCTCAGCACGGAGCCCCAATCCTTATTTATAGGCAATCATCACCGCACTGGAAACGCTAATAATACTACGAAATTGTGGTGCTTTGGGCTTGTGAGTTTCTTTCATTTGCTGTACATGTAATCTAGCTCAGCAATCTGACAACTAGCTAGGAATGATCCGATTATAAAGTTAGCCCGACTTCAAATATCATATATCATATATCATACCTGCTATGCCTTTCCTTGATCCACATGGCTACATTGGGACGAGGCCGCCTTACTAAGACCTTGCAAATTCCCTGGGATCGGGCCTCTGTTATCCAACCGGTTCCAACGGCCCCCATACCTTTCCGCCGAATAATGATATTTCGAAGAGCAAACCTATCTTTGCTCCTTATGCGTGTCCCGTATATTGAAACACGGGTCATACTGTCCGTCGCACCCTTGTGGCATTATAGCCCGATGACCGGGGCAGAGAGCGAGGGGTACGCATGAGGCGACCGTTGATTTGGAGGTGCCTCTTCAACCTTGGATTAGCCTATACGTTCCGTGGGCCGAGCCAGCGATGCGGAAGCACTGCTGCCGATGCTCATGGAGATAGCAGGTTTTACGATGAACGCATTGCACTCAGGCCTGTTGTCTCCGACGATGCTAGCGATCTTTGTGTGCCGTGTAGAGCTGATACCATAATAAAATAAAATAACGCACTTATTTTTAAAACTGTGGACATTAAGCGAATATCACGCGTATTTTCGCAAATCAGACCTTGATGCAGGCCATAATTTAGGTCAAAGATACACCGATAACGACGCACGTAATACAAACGCATTGTCATAATGGACAATAAACGTTAAACACTGACTAAATAAACGACGAAAGCAATACGGAATGGAGATGCCAGTACTATAAGCGCTGCATGGATCTCTGTATCATTCGTTTCAAGTAATATTGTAACGGACTGGAAAGGACCAGATATAATTTTAGGCGTGGCGTGTTTGATCACACATCGCAGAGCACGCGATCCGAGTCAGGAGGTGGGTTTCCCTGCTTATTGAGATTCTATAGAAATGCGTAAGTTAGTGTAAGGGGAAGGTAATCTGGAGTTCGTACTTCGGTCTCTGAGAAGCTAACCATTCCAATATCGTCCGAGGTCCGGTGAGCGAGGTCTACTTTCATTGCGCCAGTCCTATTAGCCTCCCTTGAAGCGGAAAACTCCGGCAGTGAATGAAGGGTCTGCGAGGTTGTTGTCTGTTTACTATTCCTATTGCTGTTGCGGCTATTAAGAAGGACAAGGAAGGAATTGCTGTACAATTTCGAAAGCATAAATGCTGGTACCACATGGTAGAAATTATGCTCGAATGTCAAAAACAGGGTGAGCTCGATAATAGCAATTACGGCTATATCGTCAGCGGTGAGTAATACAGACATGAAAAAAAAAGTTGTATACACACAAGTGAGCATGCCGGTCTCTATAGTTATCCTAATCAATTTGTTGAGCAGCGAGTCCGTGGCACGAAACCCAGTGCGACTTGTTGAGAGCTTCCGGCAAAGTCAGATATAGCACTTGAGATGTATTATGAACTTACAAAATAGAACATGGCGCAGCAGATTATGATATCGCACAAGGCAGTTCCCCCAAGCCACACCTGTGGACGAGTAAGAATATAACCTCCTAGCATGGTGAGAACACATACCGCAGTCGTTTTGAAGGTGTTAACCTGGGTTCCCGGCACGTTCTGTGATATTAATATTTGGAGACCTTCAGCCATTGCTGCGGAGCCCTGCACTAATGCGATCTGGTCCGGAAGCAGTCAGTATTTAACGAAACATATTTGACTTGGTCTCACAGCTGCGATCGTTATTGCTAACACAAGTGACTTGCTGAGGATGTAGATGCGCCACGCATAGAAACATTGGATCGTAGCGCTGGCTATACGTAAGATGTCACACATGAGTATACGGTCTCTCTCGTTCGGTAGAGGTCAGAGAAAACGCACTGATGCCCGTTAGAAACGGAAGATCAAACCAAGAGAGCCAAACGTCCAACAAGTCTCCTTCATTTCCCCATCCCAATGCGAGAGTGTGAAAAGAGTCGTGGGTCGCCATAATGAGCTGTAGAGTTTCAAGGATGAAAAGTCCGTATACGATGGACTTGATCAATCGATTGTCCCGAAAACCTGCTTGGTGATAGGTGTCTTGTACAGAGTTACAATTCCGTCACAAGGTATATTTAATTGTTACTCACAAAGCTGAGTTGCCAAAACACCATAGAGGCCCCAATTAAACTGATACCCTAGTACCTACAAATCCATGAGGCTTGATAACCTTCAAGTCAGCCGAATAAGCTCACCAAAGGACCTGTTCTATAATCCGTGAGTAGAAGAGTTAGTACATGAGAGAAGGATTCGTACTACTTACAGTTGTACTACAGTGTCTGCCATTGTGCTGACTCGGACTCAGTAAGTGTTGGCAAGTGCAAGCCCACGATTTATATCACCAAGGAAGCCAGCCAATTGACGAGATTGGTAATGGGAACTGCGGCTTCGGCGTCGACTCGGAACTTCCAGTATCACACTGGATTTTCAATATGCCGAGTCTGTAGACCTATCTCAGATCTCAACTTGGAAGTAAGCTCAGTTTAAGCGTCTAAGCACAGCTATGCAATCAACTTACGTTTAGAATCATTGTTCGTGTCTACTTTTTGTTATACCATCCCCTACGGTCACTTCGTGAATCGTAGAGTGGTCAAAACCTCGTGTCTTCAACGTGTTTTGATACTCTTTTCGTAAGGATTCTTCGAATTCCGACATCGCGTGACAAACCAAGAGTTGCGACGTGCGTGGTCTAAATATAGTTACGACTGGAAGTAAGCGCTTAAGCGACCATGTGCCACTCGATACTTGGCAGCCTGCTAGCCTCTCGGGTAACTCGAGTGAACTTAACCTGGCCCTGCCAGCTTGGGTGTTGGGTGCATGTTAATATATCCAAGGGTAACAAGGAGGCGGTCGAAATAACACTGCCCTGACCATTACGAGAACAACAATAAGAATACGCATGTGCAGTTCTCTATTCGTCAGGCCATCAGGCTATTTAAGTCCGTGTGCGGCATGATCATTGGCAGATAGTACCATATGATGAGATCTAACGTGAACAATGTGAAATTAGAATAACAAATCGGTACTAGTGTTATTGGTTACATACGCTCAAGCTCAAGCCACATGATTACATAAAACATTGAACACATCAACTTGAATGCATCATTTGTCTTGACCACTTCTAGCTGTCTGCGGGGGAGTATTTCTGGAACAACTTAGGACATGGATGGGAAAAAGAAACTCAGCAATGATGCAGGAGTGCCGTGCACAGCATCTGGATTGTCCGCGCGCGGCGCGCTCCAAGTCATCAGGTCTCATGCCATGTCACCCAACAAAGGCTACTGTCGTACTGCAATTCTGATTTTATATCGCCAGGCCCAAACACGAAACGCTCTGATCGGTGACGCATTTCCTATTTGAGCAGGTCGAAACAAGGTAAGCATATCATATCATTGAGACGCCATCAGCTTCCCAGTCGTCTGATCAATGATGTACTTAAGTTAACAAATAAGAGGTACACCCGCATTAATCCCCTAATTCCCACTCAGTAGAGCACTCCTCGAGGTCATGTCCACACAGACGCAGTTACTATGGGCCCACTTTTCATCTAATGAATTGGCTTTGGTATCATTCACCCTTGTGCTGTACGACCACGCTATTACGTTTGCTGAAGAGGTAAGTAAATATTCTCGCCTTCATAAATCTGAGTCATCTTTCGATTTGCCGTTATCATTTTAGATAGATTTCTTCTGGTCTGGGCCATGGTCAACTTCGAGGATACTATATCTCAGTGTAATGCCGTGGACAGATCCCATTTTATTGTCTGTGATTAATCGTAGGTTCACAGATCCGATACCTCGCTGTGACACAAGTGTTGTGCGTTTTTACTCCGTCTCGTAAGGCTGCACCTGTTGACAATCGATTCCATAGCTTGGTCCTTTTTGGTCCGTCAGCTTGAGTATTCCTTGTAGTGGTTCTGGAAACTAATATCCGAATAGCAGATACCAAGAACCTCAATTTTCTTGTAGGCATTTTTAAGTTGCGCATATCGTCATCGGGGACTTACATACAACCTTCCACAGGCGTGAGTTGGTACAGCTGATAGGGCCCCAGCAAGACTAGCTCACATTAAAATACTAGCGCTGGCCAGCTTTTTGTCTTGGTTTACCTCCTTGCATTCGTGGTCATGGTGCTCTGCCAATGTTTGTCTTTCACTTTCTCATCGATCCAATTGCCTTTTTAAAAATTCGTTATCTATCGTCCTTTGGGTCGAAGACCCCATGTCGAACATAGCCCTTCTCACCGCGGCTTACTCCCGCTTGACTATCGTATCCAATTGCCTTTACTAACAGCGAGTCTACAGGTGTCGTCACACTACGAGTATGGCATCTATTCCATCGGAGGCGCTTGATTAGATGGTTTGCGGCCGTCGTGTTCATCGGTTCCATGATAGGAAGTGCAATTGTCGGTGGCGTCAGTTTTGACGCCGTCAAGAGTGCTTACGAGATCACCAACTCTTCTGTGAATTCGAACAAGAGTCCTCCAGTGATATTCATAATCTACTTGCCATCCTTGATCGTTCATACGGTCATGTTCTCACTAACCATGTATCGCTTTAGAGCCAGCTCAGGAGCTTTGCAAGAACATGGGATTATCCACCGGTTCTTAAAAGAGTAGGCTCCTCTGTCGGTCGCAAACTAGTTACTAATGTTTGGTTAGAGGGATGTTTATGTATGCTTTTGCTGCCGGTGCGTACACCTCGATTATTCTTACATGACAGATTCTGAAGCAAATGATAGGAACGCTGCTGTACGAAATCATCAGCCTTTCTATGACTGAACTAGATCACATATCTGTAAGTTTTATTATAACCGTGGCTGCCAACACTACAATCTGAAATTCGGTTCCAGGTCTACTATCCAGCCCTTGGGGGAGGGTAAGGTCATGCCAACCATGCTGTTCACTGAAAGCTCATGGGAAATATTTCCCAGATTGGCAGTAGGGACCACAGTCGTCTCCGTCTGTCGCGCGATGCTGAGCATTCGCTCATTGGCTGCAACTCACCATGTCGATCCTGCATGGTTGCTTAACCACGCAGAACTCAGCCGTGTGCAATGGAGGAGAGGAACCAGTGAAGGCGAAATCTATGTCGAAGTTGATGAGATGGACGTTTTTCCTCCGAGTCACTAACTTCTGCACGGAATATAGGAGCAAATGCGATATAAAAACACGAATCTAATCCATATGCTATTTCTCGATCTGACATACAAAACAAGACATAAATTCGTGCTACATACACTCAATGCATCACCTAATGCCTATCTCGTTCTGTAAGCCAGTTGGTGCGAGTGAGGTGAGAAGACATGGATGTGATGTTGAATGAGGCAAGTGGATGAATCGGGCGAATCGCTGGAGGGCAGCAACGGAAACTTTGGAGAAACAAAAATAGGTGTTGAGAAATCGGAAGTTAGAACTAACCGTGCTTACTAAGTACAAAAGCCGCAGCCTGGGCCGCTGGCTTGGCTTTTCAGCATGTCAGGTTGATGTCAGGCCAAGTCAAAGCCGTGGTCAGGCTAAGAACGTTCTGAACTGACAGTGGCCTGGCTTGGCCTGACCTATTCTGGCCTGGTCTGGCCCACAGCCTGAAGCCGGGCCATGCACGTCACTGGGCAGATTGCTGAGGAACTGAAGCAGTACACTGTCACTCGATCGCACGCTCATTTACCCAAGTAATCGTAGGAGTAAACCATTTATTATAACTAAATACTACGACGAAAACTTTGCCCAGAGTATATCTCCTTGAAACCTTCTTCGGAACACCAAATAACTTAGATCAATACCATTACGAAAGTAGGAATAAATAAAAGAAAATTCCCCTGCTCTTTGTAGAGCACCAGTCAGCTGTCAACTTCACCGAGCATTACACACTACTGCTGGTTGATATATGCACGCGCTCCTGGAAAGCGATCGAGGCCATATCAGTTGCCGCGTCGGAATCTACCACGAGCTTGGCATGATATTCTCGAATGCTAAGGATCAGGCGTGGTCCCAGCACAGACCTCTGCACGACCATAAAAATATCAAGCAAGCCATAAAAAATCTGTTCCTCCAACGAATTCTATAAATGATGAACCATGGTTGCATGCAGAGAGGTCAGTGAAACATTGACATACCGTTAAGAGTGTCGGAAACAAATCGAGAATAACGAAGAGGCAGGAAGCAGCAACAAAACTAGCATGTCCGACCCTTCAGTGGAAAAAGGAACCATGATTATAATATGAACCTACCTCGCAAGATAAATCACCTGAGTTTTTATCAACACCGTGAAAGAGTCCCCGATGATCCCTCTTGCATTTCCGAGTCGCAACTCACGGAAGTGTTTTACAGTAATCCAGGTTGCGAGACATAGTGCAAGGACTTCCCATACGAGGCTGAATATCCAAGCAATGGAAACCAGAAGTGTGATATCTTTCGCAAAGTCATACGAGCACTGATGATTGCCGAAGATGATGAGTTCCTCTGGCATTCATTAATGAGCCTCATTTTGGTTTCATCCACAATTATGCGTACCTCCTGAACTATACACCGCTACTAGTACGACTACCACTGCGGTGAAAATGTAGACAACCAGGAAGGTGACAACGAGAAAGATCAGAATTCTTCTGGATCGTTGATACATGGCATATAACCGAGTGGCGATGATGACTTGCAGCATGTTTCAAAATCAAGTCAATATCACTGAGGTCTCGCAAGTGCCAAGCTCACCACACAACATCGCTAACGCCAAAGCACTCGCCGAACTCCGTACGACGTATATAAGAGAACCTGATGAATCCAGTCAGTGACCAGCCTCGGGCAGTACACACTCCAAACAGACTCACATCTGTGGTCGTATAGCGTGGCAGTCATTAGTGAACCAGGAAGTTAGTAAAGAGCCGCACCCACTCCTACAGGGCACCACAGTTAATTGGAGGGAATAGTAGGCATCTGTGCGAAAGACTCACTGCATCTGTTAGCGGGATGGTCTGAACACTGTCTGTATGTCGTTGGTCAGAAGACCCGAAGACAGTGAATGTACTAAGGAGACATACTCAGTATGGACGGGCTGATTATGAGACAGACCATTAGCACAACACCGATTATTTAGCCTTCTGAACATACGCAGCCCAAAATATTAATATAACGTAGCGCGCCTAGGATACTTTTAAGTCAGCACAATATGTTGCCTGCAACAAACAACCTGCTACATACACCGAGATACATGACTGTCATGAGAGACCAGGGTTGCCTCTATAATTAAGTGTATTTTCATCGTTGGTTCTCTGACATGGACTCTACTCACCCAGACCAATTCAATCTACGAAAGCATTCTTAGCGAAATGGCTGTTCCAGTCGTAGCATTGACGTACCTCTTGTCCGAGTGTAAGTGCTGAAAATACTTGTAAGATATCAACAGTCCTTTAATATGACCATGCTGACCCCAATCATACGTTGCCCCAACCAAGGTGGCAACTGTGAAACCGCAGCCAAGGTTAGATTAAGATAGCAGCTTCAACGTCTGATTGCTCTTAGGCCACGAACCTGCAAAATAGCTATAAACACGTTCTGCGTTGATGAACGGGAACAAAGCGGGATCATTCAAGACTATGGTCATGTTGGTAGTGAATGAGTGTGGGTGAAAAGCTAACTTGGTGGGCGTATGACGATAGCATTCATGCTAGTGATATAACCATCACAGCTTGGATCACTGAAACATTGAGGGTTGAGACCGTTACTGCTTTGATTTTCCAAAGTAGATATTTTTGGATGTTGGTGGTGAAACATTTGCGCGAGTGAAACACTAGTGCTTGAACAGCATTTGCCGCCTTGTGTAAGCTCGTTACTTACCTGAGTTCCCATAATCAGCATAAATACTGTCCGCGATAAACAAAGCGTACTTTGTTTATCACTGCCTACTGTTAAGGGACGACAGTCTTAACTACTTACACCTTGCTCGTAATGTTTTTGCTACACGTGTGTATAAGTCCATCAATGCAAATGATACTTCATCTATTTGACACATACCGATCATGGTGCGACCGTCAAAAAGCCTGTCACATCTTTTCTCTTCGTCTCGCCAACACAGCCCCAGGGAGCATAACAGTTCATCTAAGGTCACTCAACAAATGTTCATTGCGTCGACATGACGCCAGATCCGAATAGTCAGCCATCAAAGATACGAGAGGTCCACATGAAGCAAACAAACTTGCGTCCTACCCTGGTTATTATGTAAAACTTGTGAGCACTGCTGCAATATCGAGTGTGCCATTTGATTCTTTGATTTCATACCTACCGAGCCTGAGTTTGCAGTTGTCAAACTGAACGATGCCCTGAAAAGCAGACTGGGCTAAACTCAAATGTTGCTGCTGACTCGTAAGAACACGTACCGAAAACCAATTTCATCGGAAACGTATTTGCGCTCTTGGAAATTCATGCAGATGTCGTATAGGTGTTACAGGCACTTCGGTGTTCCTGTTTTGAGATGCCATCACCGTCAGTGCCGAGAAGATTACTTTTAAACACAAAGTTCTCATGGCAGCCGCAGCCTTCTGATTAAAGTCTATGTGATTAAGTGGCTGCAACCTCGCACGTACAGAGATAAGAAAACATGTATGTGATGAGTCCACGGGACATTATGCTTCCAACCAGCTCGATCCGAGACTCAGGACCATGCAGCTTTGATCAAATCCGCTGCTCTTTCAGCCAAGGCATAAACACATGCTTGAGTATGTGCAGCCGGTATATACGGCTGAACAGATGTCAGAAACATTGATCACGTAACGCCAAGCTGCGACTTACTAAAACAGATGCGTCGACGATTCGCAATCCAGAAGCCCCTTTGACAAGTAAATCTGGGTTGACCACACCATCCTGGTTAGAGTAGGACGTCATCCGAGCGGTTCCAACTGGATGGAAAACCGTAGTCGTTGAGTTCCGAGCATACTCTGCCAAGTCTTCGTCTATAGTGGAATTGAGAGCACCAAGAGCTTGGATAATGTAACCTTTCCATGCGGGCGCCTCGACGAATCGCTTGGCAGATTTAATGGCTTCCACCATTACATAAATGTCGAATGGGCTTCCCAGCAATGCAGGATCGATGATTGGATTGTCAAAAGGATCGCTCGACGCCAACGTCACCGAACCACCTTGAGATCAATCAGTGACTGAGCACGCGATACACGCAAATTACGCACGGGATAGTGGAGAAGCTACATTTGTTACAATAGTCGAGAAAAACCCTGTCGCTGGGGTACTTTCAACGAATGACACGAATCCGTTCTATAACGCACGTCATCAGATTACACGAAAGAAATGAACAAGAAAGACTTACGACCGGCAGAAGTTCATAGTGAGCAGATGTCGGGCCAGCAGATGGGTCAGGATATTGTTGGAAGATACTTGAGTTTGATGGAAGTCGCTTCCAGCCAATTTGGTTGGCACCGGGGTCCGAGAAAAGGCCTGTGCCGGTTGCATTCCATTGTGCGAGCAGATCAGCAGCCAGAGTGGCATTTCGAGCAACTTTTTCCAACGTGGAAGTGGAATTGACGAGCCAGTGATTGGCCAAGAAAGGATGGTCGGAAAGATTCTTGCCAACGTCTCCAAGATTAAGAATGGTAGTGATATTCAACGGCGCAAGCAATGCCGAGTCGCCGACACCGCTCAGCTGTAAAAGCTGGGGTGTATTGATCGATCCGCCGGATAGAACGACTTCTTTGGTTGCATTGAACAACAACCGTGGACCTTACAAGGGCATGTGAGTTGAGAACACTGGGACTCAGAAACGCTACAGTCACCTGTTGCAGTTTGAGCCACCTCTACTTGGCCGAATGTCGGAACACCATTTTCCTGCGAAACCGCTACAAGTTTGGTGACGCGAGTTTGGATGAGGACATCCAGGTTGTCTCTTTCCATCGCAGGTGCCAAATATGCTGTAGCTGAGCTGCTCCGAAAACCTTTCGAGCTCACGGAGTTCTGCGTCCATCCTAAGAATAATGAGCGGTTGTTCCTGGTGTTAATAGCATTGCCTGACCAAGTCCCAGAGTATAGCCTGAATTCATGTCTACGTTGTAAGGGAACTCGCAGTCAAGTTCTCTCGTTGTGTCAATAACACGCCGATCCACGCCACTGACGAAGCCACCCAGGCTTACTTGCACTGGCCCCTTCTTACCATGTACAGAGGGATCCACCTCTCCGACTACAGAACGATTGTCCGTAGGAGGCACCAAATGTTCGCTCTACCAGTCAGTTAGAATTGAGCTAGGTCGGCAAGATGGGGTATTTACTTTCT